GATCTTAGATGGTATTTATGTGAGCGCAAACCCTTGCAGAAGTGTAAATAAAGGTAAAGCTGCCTTCATTCCCTGATGATCTTTGAGGAAGAAAAGTAACCAGATCTAACGGAATCCTGTGTACAATGCTGTCATGAAGAGGATTTCATTTTGGGAGATATTGGGATTGTTTTAATCATCAGGCTTGGATAAATGGAAGAAAACCCAGATTCCTTCCTGTTTCATCACTGCATTTTTTAAGATAAATTTTCCAGAGATGCTTGAGTTTGCATCTTCACTGGGCTGTGGTCGGCCTGGGGCGCAGGCTTTGCTCAGAACCAGCTTTCCTGGCTGCTGGGATCACTCCAGGGGCCTTGTAAAGTTGCCTCCTTTCTCTGGAAGTTTTTGGGTCTGTGGCATTTTCCTGCCTTCTGAATCCCACCTGGATATTCCTCAGCTACCTGCCTCTCTGGTCTGTATGGGAAGCCCAAAGTTCCAAGATCCTTAAGGACTCTTGCACTGGGAAAAGGTCAAGGGAAAGGCAGACACAGGGAGTTTCACCGTGGACAAATTCTAGCATAGGGCGTCTCTACCACACTTTCACCTCCTCACTGTCTCTGCCTTCCTCAAGAGGCAGCCCTGGCCTCCTTCATCTCCTCAGTTGAGATGGCCTGCTTCCCAGGAAGTCCCATTCTACTGCCCCGGACACTGTGGTCTGACCAGAGTTTAGTTACTTCCATAGGAAAATCCTTAAGATGGGACTCTATTGTCTTTCTGTTTAGCCCTGGACCTTGACCTGGAGGCTTAGAAAATCAGACCTCTGCCCTTATTTTTTTTTTTTTTAATGAAGATTTATTTTATTTATTTTTTTTAATATATATATATTTTTTTTTAGAGGCATGTTTTATTTATTTATTTGTTTGTTTGTTCGTTTTGTTTATACATGCACTGAAGATTTATTTTTATTGGGCCTCCCCGGTGGCGCAGCAGTTGAGCGCTGGTTCAACCTGCCCGCAGCCTCTGCAGCGCCGGTTCGATCCCCTGGCTGCTCCCCGGCTGCTCCCCGGCTACCGGAGGAGGATCCCACATGGCGTGCAGACCTCTCCTGCCACCCGCTGCTCCCCTCAGCAGTGTACTTTGGTCTTTCTGCCTGCTCTGCTCCCCACTCTGGCTCTGGTGAATTCTCTCCTCCTCCCACGCTTCTGACTGTACCCAGTGCTTGTATAAATAAATAAATAAATCTTTAAAAAAAAAAAAAAAGAGGACAGATTCCTGTTGAACTTATAAAAAAAAAGATTTATTTTTATTTATGTGTGCATACAAGAACTGAGGTATAAGCCAGAGGTGTGGGGAGTGGGGGGTGGTATGTAAAAAGGCTCAACAGAGACACAGTGGGGAGCATAACAGGCAGATCTACTGAGATACACTGCGGAGTGCAGCAGCGGGTGAGACATGAGAGGTCTGCTGCACCATGTGGGTAGCTCCCTGGAGAGGGATTGAACTCATGCTGCAGTGGCTGGTGATAGTTTGACAGTGCTGAGACTTAATCCCTTGCGCCACCAGGTAGGCCCTTCTGCCCTTATTTTAAATCTTTGGAGGACCTAGATTGTGGTGGTGGCCACCCTTGCCTCACCTCCCAGTGGCCTTGACAGACAGAGAATTGAGTCCAGGTGTGAGGGGCCCAGGGAGTGTCTGTCAGGTCCCACCATCACCTTTTGTTTGCTTGTTTAAAACAACACACATTTATTATCTTACAGCTTTGTAGGTCAGAAACCTGGCACTGGTCACACTGAGCTAAGATTAAAATAGCAAAATATGGGGAAAAACTATTTTCTTGCCTTTTCCAGCCTCATGAGTTCCCCTGCATCCCTTGGTCCTCACCCCCTACACTCTTATAGTCACCAGTGGCTGACTGAGGCTTTCTCACACCACACATTCCGTCTCTGTCATCACATTTCTCTGACTTCCAGAAATGCCTCTTACAACTGGGAAATGAAATTGGTTTTCCCAGAGGTGCCCCACAGGGACACAAGCCAACTGAGTCTTCCACCCCTGCCTCACCTTGACGCCAGCCTCTCCCCTTCCATAGGTTTTCTGGAGAACAACTATATTCTTAGAAAGGGCTTCCCTGCTTTAAACAACTGAGACAACAGTGCCTCAGAGTCATGGTTGAGTCATGAAATCTGAGGTGGTTAGCGTGTCTGCCCAACTGCCTCATGGGGGTCAGCCAGTCACTGCGTATCCGGCTCTGCCCTGGCCCAGGCAAGGCCTTAGACAAGCTGCTTCACCTCCCCTCCACCCTCCACTCCTTACCCCCACCCAGCCCCTAGCACTGCACCCTGGCTAGAACCCAGTTTCCTGTGCCCGCAAATAGCATACCTGCCCCTCATACCCCCATCCTCCCCCCATGTCCTGTAGATATCAGGATTAGGATTCTTTGGGAGCAGTGTTTGTTGTGGCTCAGAGATCAACCCTGGAACAGAGAACAAGCTTCACCTCTTATTTGCGGCTTGGGGCAAGTTGTTTGACCTTTCTATGTATCAGTTTCCTCATCTGTAAAAAGGGCTAATGATTGTACCCATGCTTGGGACTGTCTTGAGAGTTCAGTGAGTTAATAATTTATAGGATGCTTAGAATATCGCCTGGTCCATTGAAATCGCTCAGTAGGATTTGTCTATTATATTACACTGTGACAGTGGTCTCCTCGTCAGCTTGCTCATTTCTAAAGTCCCTAGGCACACGATAATGGTCGCCATTAAGTTTCTCCTGGCCCCAGCATCAGAACAGAGATTAAATGAAGTCATTAGACAGAGTCTCTGCCTTGGAGTATGCTTCTCAGTCCTTGGGCCAACCCCCACCCCACCCGCAGCCCATATCACATCAGATCTAGGACCTTGGTATCCACTCAGCACTGTGTAGAGAATATCCCAGGAGACACTGGAGTCAACCAAAGACTCTCAGAGCCGGAGACAATTAGGTGAGTCTTAGTGATAGCTCTTGGGTATGTCCACTTATCTCCGCTTCTGTTGTTTCTGATTAAACCAAATCTGCATTCTTAGAGCTCCTCCCTCTCCTCCACCCCTCCAGCCCTGCCCCTGGCATCTTGGTCTCCAGCCTCAGGCTCCAGCCTGGCAACCATGGCTGGGCAACTTGGGGAACTGGAGTTTCCAGGGACTTGGAGCACAAGGAGAACTTGCCCTTTGGGTCCACTTTTAAGAAGTGGAGAATCTTTATTGTCCTGGCCGACTGGCTGCCTGGTAAAGCAGGAGGGGCTCTGTTTCCAGCTGCCAGGGTGCGCTCAGGAACCTCCTCGTCACCTTCAAAGCCCAGAGGGCCGTGGCTGTATTTTGACCCCTGGACTTCCCCGACAAACCTGGTGTCTTTTGAATACATCATTTTGTTAGGGGGAAATGATGTTCTGAGTTAATTCCATACAGGCTTTGTGGACTCCACCCCCACTCCAGACTAAAGCCATCAAGACATTGGGAAAGACAAATCCCATCACCACCAAGGGAGGGTGGCTGGGACCTGAGGGTGGAGTTGGGCAGCCAGGTTGGATATAAAAACCAAACACGTGGGCCTTGGGGGGCTGGCTATCGCTCGCCTCCTGGCTTCACCGCTCCTGGCTGGCGGCCAACTCTGAGAGCGCCATTTTGGGATTCTTGATGGGCAGATTGGGTAGGACTCATTTAAAACTTTGTCTCCCACTTTTCTCTCAGAGCTGTACATTTCCTCCTTTCCCTTTCCCTTGTAAATAAACCTTTATTAACCTTTCACGTGTGCCTGCAGTAGAACATTGATAAGTCCTTTTAAGCGCGTGGGTGAGGACCCACAGTCAGGCACCCCGTTTTGTATCGGGGTTGCTCTACAACAATTTGACTTGTAATTTTCTTCTAAAGTCACATGCAAGGGGAAAGTAATCATAATGAATTCCACGTTCAAGATCATAGATTTCTGACTATTTGGTATTTTGGCTCCAGAGAAGACAGTTGTTCCTGCCATGTTAAATGGATGGCAGCACTTCTTGCTTGGGAGGGACAGAGGAGGAGGCCCACAGGGATCCCTGCCTCTGCGAGCTGACAGCAGGAACTTGGAACAGGATGTGAAATTCTTATCAATGTGTGTTAAGTGTCACGAGGGAGATTGCTTGAGAAAGTATGAATGGCTCCTCACAGCCTCTTCACTACTGGAGAAACAGCCCGGAACACAGGCCCAGTAACTGAGGGAAGTGGCAGCGCTTCATCTCGGCTTCCCCCAGGGGAGGGACTGTTTTTGAAGAGCACTTACAATGTGCTGGCCACACTTATGCCTCGGCATCGTCCTAGAAGATTGGTACCGCCACCACTCCCATTGTACGGATGGGAAAACTGATGTGCAGAAAGGATAAGCAACCCATGCAGTCAGTGGCAGAGCTGGGAATCATAGTCAGTCATATGGGTCCTGCTATCCCACTCTTCGTGCTCAGCCCTCAGGGTGCATTATACATATAACCATTGGTAGTTTGGGGCCTTTGGAAATCTTGAGTAAGAAAAGCACAGAGGGTAGGGTACAGGCCTGGGGGGAGGTGAGGGCACCAGGCGGCCTCCTGTGCTCTGCTTGTTCCAGATTAGAAATTCAAACACTTGAGAGAAGCTGACTTGTTTTTCTCCTTCTCTCAGAGATAAGTTTTAGCTGGGGCTTTAGCCAAGCTCTCAGGGCGCAAAAGGAGGGAGAACTGTGGGGGCGAAAACTCAAGACCTGCAGGGGGTGTACCAGGAGAGAAATGGCTGCTGGGGACTAAAAGCCCCAGAAACACTGCAGGAGACCCCGAGAAGCCACCCCAAGTCCTTCCTAGTCCTACTTCAGTTGGTGCATCAACACACACCCCTTCCTCAGGCTCTTGTCGTGTGAGAGGCACTAGACTGTGTCAAACAAGGACCCACTGCAGGGCCTGGTTTTCCATACTGTGACCTGCAGGATGGAGCAAACTCAGTTGGCCTTTGAACTCCAGCTCATGGTGTCCCCTGACTTTTCTCCTCCAGATGGGATCTACTATGGAGACAATCGGTTTAACACAGTGAGTGAGTGTGGAACAGCTACATTGAAAGCTCGGCCGAGAGTACGGCCCCTGCTGACCTTCCTTCCACTGGTGAGTACCATTCTGCTCTAGAGTCTGAGGGTCTACGATGTCAAAAAGAATGGCCCTCCACTTGCCTTGGCCCAAGTGGACATCAGTTTCACTCTCTGTTTACTCCCTTCCTTCTTTTTTTTTTTTTTTTTTAATAGAGGCATGTTTATTTATTTATTTGTTTGTTTGTTTTTTGTTTATACATGCACTGGGTACAGTCAGAAGCGCGGGAGGGTGAGAGAATTCACCAGAGCCAGAGCGGGGAGCAGAGCAGGCAGAAGGACCGAAGTACACTGCTGAGGGGAGCAGCGGGCGGCAGGAGAGGTCTGCGCGCCATGTGGGACCCTCCTCCGGTGGCCGGGGAGCAGCCGGGGATTGAACCAGCGTTGCAGAGGCTGCGGGCAGGTTCGCAACCCAGCGCTCAACCGCTGCGCCACCAGGGAGGCCCTACTCCCTTCCTTCTTGATACTAAGAGGCATGTGAGTCTTAAGACAGGACAGCTGGGATTAGGGGTGTGAGTATGTCAACTATTCAGGTCAAAATCCAAGCAGAGGGATTTGTATGCAGAGGTAGGGAACTTGTATGCAGAGGTAACAAAGTGGTGGGCACTTCGGCTAAGCAGGATTCGTATTCCACAATTACAGCTGCCTGCTCCATGCCAGGCTCTGCATTAGATGCTGAAGATGATTGAACCATCATTGCTGCTCTAAGGCAAGAGACTAGTGAGTAAACAGGAGCAGAGATAGTCCATCCAACCATGAGGAGTGGTAGGGGTGGAGTCACAGAGGGCTTCCTGAAAGAGGTGACATCTACACCATCTCTAAGGAAGAAGAGTAGTGACTCTTGGCAGAAGGCACTTGGGGCAGATTTGTATATGGGTCTGAAACTACAGGAAACTGAAAACTTCCTTCTGGATCTTGTGGTTGGGCTTTTGTTCTTTGACAAGGGAGAGATATTCAAAACAACAGCTCTGTGACTGATTCTCTTTACCTTGGTGAGAGTTCCTGAGTTTTGGGGGACAGTTACACCAGTACTGTCCAGTAGAAATATAATGTGAGCCTCATGTAATTTAAAATTTTCTAGTAGCTACATTGAAAGTAAAAAGAAATAGGTAAGATTGATTTTAATAATATATTTTACCTAACCCAATATATTCAAAAGATTATTATACCTGAAACTTATCTAATGTTATTATGCAATGTTACTTTAATAAAAAAAATTCACCTCAACATTTAATTAATGTAATAATGCTAGAGATGTTTGACATTCTTTTGTTTCATACTAAATCTTCAAAATCTGGTGTGATACTCAGAGAGTACATACATGCCACTTCTGACAAATGACATTTCTAGTGCTCAGTCGCCACTTGTAGCTGGTGGCTATCGTATTGGACAGTCCAAGTTGAGAGTTTAACAGTCAGTCTTGTAAATTCTGGGTTCACTCCTGTGTGTCAAACCTACCTCTGGTTGGGATGATACTGTCACTGGGGTCACCACATCCTCTTTCCTCCCTGAAGATTTGTCTGGGCCAGACTAATGAGGTACCTGCCTGTCTGAGTTCTCAGGGACCTGTTAGATGTCATGTCTTTGTCCCTGACACCTGCAAGCTCTGTTCAGCACAGCCTAGCACAACCACCACCCTCTGTCCATCACCAAATGCCTTTGGTTTGTCCAACCTCATTAACAAGATCCGAGATTCTAGATGAGGGAAGCTGAGCCTTATGTTCTCCGTAGTGCATCTCCAAGGCCTTGGTGTGGAGGGCTGGACACATGGACCACTAGGAATACAATTTTAATTAATTTACTTTCTGCCTATAAAAGCAATTTATGGACATCCTAGCCAATATAGGAAGTATAACACCAAAAGCAAGTAGATATAGTCAGAGCCTAACTTTCTAGAGATGCATAAAACTGGCATGGAATTGTTTTTTTTTTAAGATTTTTATTTATTTATGCATACAAGAACTGGGGTACAGGCCAGACATGCAGGGGCTGAGAGGATTCACAGAGACAGAGTGGGGAGCAGAACAGGTGGATTGATTGAAATACACTGCTGAGGGGAGCAGCGGGTGAGACAGGAGAGGTCTGCGGTGCCATGTGGGTTGACCCTGGCCGGCCAGGGATTGAACTCATGCTGCAGAGGCCACAGACAGCGTCACAGAGCTGTGTTTAACCCCTTGTGCCACCAGGGAGGCCTGGTATGGGGTTCTTGCACTCATAAATATAGATAAAATCATCTTGGTTTAATTTTAACTAAATTTTAAATTTAATTTTCTCTTGCTGAATGAGATTCTCTCCAATCACCTACCCTCAGCACATCTACTCAGAATTACAATGGTGTGGGCCCAGGGCTGGCACATTTATACCTTGTTGTTAAAATACTGAAATAAGCAGTTGTTACCTCTTGAGTGTCCCCAGATGCCCTGCCCAAATCTGAATCAGCATCTAAAGCGTTAATGTGGTATAGATTTATTTGCTTTGATTGGTTGGCCCTGAGTTTCTAGCAGTTCTGCCCTCCTCCCTTCTGGTTTCTGATGTGGGCCTACTGGGATCTACCCTCTACCCGGGTGTGAGCAGAACCATGTCAGGTTCAATACAAGACCAGAAGGAAGCAGGGCCTGGAGTGGGCTTGGCTAACTGGTCGGGCAAGCCTGGAGCTCAAGACTGTTTTTGGGGAACACTCCTTGCAGGCAAGTCTGGGAGCCAGTGCCAGGAAATGGAGGCGTCACCCTAGCACAATCTCATACTCACTCTCTGGGGAGAGCAAGAGCCTGCCAATTAAAATGGTGAACCAACAACTGGAAGGGGCTCCATGGGGCCCACACCAGCCTCATTTTACAGAGGCAGAAAGTCCTCTGTACAGGGCAGTTCACCCTGTGCCTCTAGTGCTGGGGAAAGGCAGGTAGAGTGACTTTTGCAATCCCAGCCAGTGGTGGGGCCAAGTGATCATGGTCAACATGAACTGAGCACTTACTCTGTGTCAGGCACCATTCCAAGGGCCTTGGATGTGTCAACAGCATCCAGAAAGGCACCCTATGTGCAAGGTGCTGTTGTTAGTTCTCATTTTATAATGAAGAAATTGAAGCACAGCAGGGGATGTGACTTGCTTAATGTCACACAGCTTGTAACTGTCAGCGTTGGTACCTGAATCCTAGTAGCCAGTTTCCAGTCCAGGCTCCACATTCTGTAAGGTCCTCCTCCTTTCCCTTCCACCCACTTCCTAGAAGCTTTTGTCTTCCCTTCCTGTACCAGCCTGCAGAACCACCTCCATCTCTCTGAACCTCTGTCCAAGTAACCAGGGCCTGCTGGGTACCCGGTCTGTTGGCTCTTTTGGGTCCTAGACCCCTTTGAGATGATGACAAGGTCATGAGCTACATACACACTGTTACTGTTTTGCTTACAATTTCAGCAGAGGCCTCTCAGGTCTCTGGAAGTTCTCCTATGAGACACCTAAAGGAAACCTTGCCCTCAAGAGCCCCCAGTGCAGCCAGGTTGCACCTGGAGTCCTGCTTCTACTTCCAGAAAGGGCAGAGTTCCAGCCCTCTCACTTCCTGCTCTGAGAACTCTGAAGAACTGGACCAGAATCGTCAAGCTTCAGAACTGGGTAGAACCTTGGCACTCCTCAGGATGAGAACACGGAGACCTAGGGACAGCTGAGGTCACACAGCTCAATAGTGGCAGGACAGGACCCAAGCCTGGGCCTCCTCCTCCCAAACCACGTGGGCCTGGGCCAAGTGGGGGAAGTATCCTTTCTTGCCACTTCCTCCTACCTCTCAGGGGAAGCCTGGCTGAGAGCTCAAGTCAAACCTTGTCCCTAGTTTTCAAGAGCTTAGTGATAGAACAACTGGCAGTGGAAAGGTTATATTTCTTTTTGGGGCTTCCCTGTGCCTTCCCCAGTTTAAATCAAATCATCCCCAGGGTAATGCATGTGAGGAATTAAAAATTAAATGCCAATGTGGCAAATATGGGGAAACTGGCTGAACAGGTCTCTAGGGGTGCCCCTGGCAGTGAGAGCTCCCTGGGTCACCCCACCCTCTGAGTCAGATGGGCCTGGCTGTGCCTGGGGAAGTGTCAGGCTGGACTGGGACAAGGAGCCCCGCCTGCTCCAGACCACCCTCAAGTCCTCTGCCGCCTGGAAGGTCAAAGATGCAGCCCAAGTCAGCTGGATTTCTTCAAACTGAGGCCCAGCTCCCTCTGGGGTTGGGGTTGACACTCCTGAGGGTGAGCCAGCAGGTGGTCATAGCTGATTTCTGACTGATTCATGGGTCTGACGTAAGCTGGAAGGGTTGCGGGGTGAGGGAGTTCTGTGAGAGCCTGTGCCAGTGGGCGTCAGGCCTGCAGCCAGCGCAGATGGACTCCCTGCCCCCACTGCAGGCACCCCTCCTCCACTCCTTGCTCCTTCCCTCACAGTGAGGGCCTCAGCCTGAACTTCCAAATCTCCACCCACACCCACAAACAGCTGCCTCCCGGCCACTGTGGAGTCAGGGGTTGTGTGCCCCCCAACTCAGGCTGCCCTCAGGGCTGACACAGAAAGAAGCCCCAGAAGTGAAATCTGGGTCATTTAAATGGAGAATTCTGGGGGTTTTGATGCCTGGAGCATGGTCAAGAGAGGGTGTCCTCTTGACCCCATGGATTCCTCACTGTATGGAGTCCAGGTCTTATACCCCAGAAGCCTGGGTGGAAGGGAACTTCTGGGGTGGCAGGCAAGTCCAGAGGAAGAGAGCTTCTTCTCTGGCCCACAGGAGAGGGTATGTGCTATGGAAGAGGGTGGAGGCCGGGAGGAGGTTGGGAGGTGCAATCAAACTCTCTTATAAAATGCTCTAGGCTCCCAACTTCAGAGACGTTCATCTGTGGAGACCCCCCCACACTGCCCCTCAAAACCAGGGAGACAGTTGGCTGAACTTCATCCATCAGGGTCCAGGGAGTACCTGGAGGGGTTTCCTTGTGGAGGTCACTCTGGGGTCCCATCCCCCTGCTATGCCAACATACTGGTGCCCCCAACCATGCCCAGCTCTGACTTTG